GTATGTGACAATGAACACAGCGGTTTTAAACATACATGTAAATATCTCAAAGGTTTTGTCCCTTTTAGTAATGTGAAAACACTATCAAATAGAAGCTGGAAAAAAAAAAAGAAATCTTGCCTAGAAGGAAAATTGATTGTCTGGTTTTTTTTTTTTTTGTAGATGATGTTTTATAAATTAAAGCTATCTAAATCCTTCCTGGAGAAACTGTTGTTGAAATTGAATGTTAAAATAGTTTCACTTCATAATGCAGTTTCTTTTCCTCAAGAAGAAAAAAGAAATCCTCATTCTGCATCTAATATAACATTAAAATTGTCAAAATTGTTGGTTGCTCTGGATAACTTGTTTTTCCCAGTACTAGCAATATTGTGTAGTTTCTTATGTGCAGTATTGTAACTTCATTGATTGAAAGACTTCTTAATTTATTGTAGTGTCTGTTCACACCACCACTCCTGCCCTTTTCCTTCAGGACTAGTGACAGGAAGCAATGGGTCACTGTATTCTAGTGACTTCCACAATGTCTGGTAAATTTAAAGTGTTTGATGTTGGCAGGAAAACGAGTGACAGGCAGTTTGGTTCCAGGGACACTGGTGGCTGCTGTATTTTTTTTAAAAAATTGAATAATACAATGTTGTATAGAAGAAAACTCCTCTTGCTTTGCTTCTTAAAGGAATCACACTGAAGACAAGAAAACTTCCTACTTCTTCACAAGATGAGATCAAGAAGGTTTCGGTGTTTTCTTTTACTCTCAAATTTGTGATAACAAATCAGCATATTTCTGTTTGGTGGCTTCTAGACAGGCAAACACTCCCATTCAAGTAGAAACTTGTGATGTCTCACAATAAGTAGTTTACTGTTTTGATTGAGTTTTTAGATACAGCCTCCAAATACTGATCATCTGGTCTTGACTTAGCTACAAATCATGTTTCCTGCTTGTGTTTTGAATGAAAATTAATTAATGCACGTAACTCAAATGCATTGGAATTTACTGCTTCTTGACTTTACTTGAAGTAATTGTTTTGCTAGTTGACGTTTCAAGCTTCAGAATGAACCCAGAATACTTGTCCTTCCTTTCTCCTCCTTACCCTGAACGCTCCATTGTCTTCTGTGTTGGCTTTCTGTTCAGAGTAATAATATCCATGTTTTTCCCCGGGAAGGCTGGAGAGAGATTACCTGCCTTGTGTTTTCCATCACGGTCTGCAACACTATGTGGCGCCCTTGTTCAAAGAACAGCACTATTGTTTTGCTTGCTTTCTTTAATCTGACAGTGAGTGGTTGAGACATGTAAAAGTTGTCCAAAATAGGAAGTGTTCCGACGTGAACTAATTAGAAAAATTATTAATCTTTAGTAATAAACTTGGTCTTTAAATTCAAGCCAAGCCATACAGATGGACAATATGGAGTGGGTGTTTGCTTGTTATCTATGCTTAAGCTTTTGTTTGAGAAGTTATGGCCTGTTTTCTTTAGTCCTGTTTGTAAACTGTGCTCTACGTTGGTGCATCCCTTTCCAAACAACTTAGGATGATTGCCTGTCATTAAAGAAAACCTTCAGTATTCTGCATTTCAACGCTGAATTTCATGTCTCAGTGATGTTAGACTTTTGTTGCAGGCTGAATTAAGAAAGCTCAAGTGAGCAGAAGGATGGCTTAGAAAACCTTCAGTATTCTGCATTTCAATGCTGAATTTAATGTCTCAGTGATGTTAGACTTTTCTTGCAGGCTGAATTTAGAAAGCTCAAGTGAGTAGAAGGATGGCTCCAGGTGTGATCTGCTAGTAAGTCTGAGAATTTCTTTGCTCACATCAATCATATTCCAGCTTCCCTAAGGTATATGTGTGAAGTGGGAACTGTTGCATTCCCTTGCCTGAGGAAGTGGCACAGCAGAATTGGCACAGGACAACTGCTTCAGAACATGTTCAGTACCATCTGTTTTAGCTCATACCTGTGCTAATTCAACCACTGTCTAGTTTCTGTTGGCCTTGTACTGTGCAAAAGTGACTTTACATATTGTCCACCACAAAAGCTGAATATCTGGGTCACACTGAACCAGCTATCTATGATAGTCATCCCAGAGAAATGATACTGCACTGAAGAAGGACTCCAGCTTTGGCTTTACTTCATAGACATTTGTCTTGCTGGGTCTTAGAAATCATTTGGTTTTAATGATGGAATAGAATTTTGCATGGCATCTCTACTGGCATGTGAAAAATATGGTTTGCTGCCTTGTATTTCTGTTCTTGGTGATACAAGATGTGGGAAAGCTCTGAGGGTGCTGCACTGAGATGAACATCCCCAATTCCCAGAAACACACAATTGTTGAATGCTGCATTTTGTGTCTTTGTTCCTGCAAATTAATGATCTGCTATCCATCCTGCTACATAGCTAGTTTATTAGTGTGAGGCAGTTCAGATTCACCTGGCACAAACTGAACAGTTTTCATATCTGTAGCAACAAAATTGCCACATGGCAAAGCAGATACCTACTAAGCCCAGTTTTGTCTCCAGAAGTGGTGGTAATGAGTGCTTTGAGGGAGAGATGTAACAAGACTGCAGTGATACTTGCCCAGCAAGATGTCCATTACTACTTGCCAGAATCTATGCCAGGATGTCCTAAGCTAGAAACAGCTGAACTATAAACTTGTGCAGTGATTGGATTTCCTCGTAAGTGTGCATTGAATTATTAAAACCATAAGTCTATTAATGCTTTGCCCTCCCATTTAATTAGTCATTGCATGAAAGTGCATGTTGGGTTTCTTTAGCCTGCTTCTTGATACTTGTTTAATGATCTGGGTACTGTTTTTACCTTCCTGCCTTCACGACAGTGCTCTCTGCCTCTCGTGTCTGTGCCTTACTGCCTTTTACCTGTATGTCTGCTGCTCTATTTAGCCATTTTGCACTTCTGTTAATCTTTGTTACCCTTCTCTATTTGTCTCTTCAGAGATGGGATGACCAAACTCTATTGAAGTTGTAAATACAAAGTTCTGCAATACAGCTGTAATGAGTCCTGAAGCTCTCTTAATTTTCATGACTTTAGAGCTTAAGGTTGATATTTCCAGAAGACTAGCTAAAGTAATGCCAAAGTGTTTTGCATCCTAGCCAAGGGGTCCATATTGCCAGCTTATCTGTGGCTATGATGTGAGGGTTATTACTATTTTTGTTTTTACATTACTTTTTATGTATTGGTATTTCACTTATAGGTTACTAAGAATTCCCTATTGTGAAGTCTCTTTGCAGTCTCCTTTCTTTTAAACTACTTTGATTAATATTGTGATGGTAGTTGCATTTTTGCTCCCTTTTCCAGATCATCTAAGTTTAGTAGCACAGATTTTTGGGGAAGGCAGAGAATAAGTGTCCATAACAATCTTCTGCTATGCAGTTAAAAAATCTGCTCATGTCTACTTCTTATTGCTGTTCTACTCTCACTTTTTGGTGTGTCCTGTTGAGAGTAAAGCCCTCTGCTCTCACAACCAGCAAATAACAGAAGACAAATAAGGAAAAAACCCACTCTAAAACAAAAGACCACCAGGATAGACATAAAGAAAGTGTAATATAATTCAATTTATTTGTTTTTTATCTACTATTCCACTCTTCAGGTAACCATCTCTGACAAGTCTTAAAATTTGAGATTATTACCCTCTTCAGACTGGGAGCCACCAAGTGTTTATAAGGCTACAAGTCAGCCAATTACTACCATCGTGCCTCAGTATGAGGTAGTAGCTTCAGTTTCCTGCTTTGAAACAAAGACCAGCAAAAAAGGTGGGTTAGTGCCTCAGTATGAGGTAGTAGCTTCAGTTTCCTGCTTTGAAACAAAGACCAGCAAAAAGGGTGGGTTTTTGCTGGTGCATAACTTGAGTCAGCTATACTAGAATAACAACCTGAGCTTTATCTGCTCAGTGTTTCAAACCAGGCTAAGACCTAGCAAATTGAAGCTATCGTACTGATTGGAGTATAAGGGTATAGAGGCACTTCTCCCCCTGCCCCCCAAGAACTGTGTACTGGAAAAATCTGACTTGCATTTGACTTTTTTAGGTGTGATTGTACCTTATGGCTGCTTTTAGGGTGCTTAGATCCTTCCTCGTGTGGAAAGAATTAACCTGTTCCTTGGTGGGAACCTTGGACCTTGGTGGAGAGTTGTGCTTATGAGGACAAGCCATTGGCAACTCAGTATTTCTGATGGGAGGCTTGCTTAATTTTTATACTAAACAGTATGGTTGGGCTTGGTTTTTTTATGGACAGGCACTGCCTGTCTGGCAACCAGTTTCCTGGAAAAGCAGGGCTTTCTGGGCAAGCTGGGAAGTGAAACCATGCTTGGGGGGTCAGGCTGTTCATGTATGTGCAACACTGATCTGTGAGTTTTTGTGAGTGAGCAACATGTATGTGGCATGGGGAAGGGAGCAGAGTGTGAGGAGAGCTATGCTGTTGTATGTAACATGGAAGGGTAGATGAACTGTGGAGCTCTAGAAGGTGGCTAAATATTTAAATATGCTGACTTAACTTTTTGGTTTGTATGCTGTCACTTAAAAAGGAATGCTTTAAATTTCGGCCAAGGTAGTATGCTTGGAAACCAGTTTTTATATTTACATTTCTTCCTGCTCCTTTCTCTCATATTTAGTTTTTTATTAACCAATGCTCTTACTAAAAAAAATGCTGGGACTGTGTTTTCAATCAAAATCAGGTAGATTGGCACACTTTAATGTGGAGCAATGTCCCGTGAAGTTCTCTGGAGATGAGTGTTTATCTGCTGTGTGTATAGCAACGTCTTCCTGATCGTGGGAACAGGTATGCGCATGTCTTCATACTTATATATACACTGCATTTATGGCCTTAGGTAACTTTCCACTAATTTTAGCAAAATCCAGGATGTGAATTGTGTGTATGTGGCAGTTGGTCAAATCTGAAAGTCTGTTAAAGTCCCATTGGATTATGCAGAGGCAAAATAGCCCATAAAACAGAGGAGCAAAACAAGCATTATGATCCAGAAAAGGTGTATGGAAGAAACTCTTCTTAGCTTTATTCTGCTTAGAGTAGTAAATTTTACTTCCATGTCATTACAGATGTTAAATCACCTTTTTCCCCAGCTTTGCCATTCTCATCCTCAGAGCTGAAAAAAAAAAGCAAACAAAGCCATTGCATTTTAAGACTTACTTTATATTTCTAAAGCAAAATCTCCTTATTTAGAAAAATAAAGAGTACACATACCTCCAGTGGTTAATCCAGCAGAATGAGCATTGTTTTAGTGTTACAGAAAGAAATCAGTAGAAGGTGTTAGTTTTGGTAATTTTGCAATAAAGCAAGTATATTAAGAACTTACTCCATTATCACTATTTGAAAATTATCTCAGTTCTCTTCTGTTTTATCTCTGTTACCTTCACTAACACATTGCACACAGGTAGTATTGTCCTTGACTGGATGCTGCCAGATTAAAAGGATGCATGAGTAATAAAACAAGCTCTTTGTTTAAACTAAATTCCTCAGTGGGAGCTGTAATTGTTTGGAAGCATTTTTCTGTTCTCTTGATGTTCACAGAAAACTTTCCTCTCTTCCTGGTGTTGTGAATCAAAATGGGAGGTAGTCATATTCCTGATTTCATCTGGTGAAGTAACTTAGTATCTGTGTAAACATCAGTTTGGCTATTGTCTGTAACTGGTTAGTTTGAAAGTGCCAGTGCAGGGCAAATGATTTCATGTTAAGGTTATTTTTAGAACAGCAATATAATGCCGTTGTTTGATATGTAAGAGCCTCCCCCCAGCACAGAGTTGATCTGAGAATGCAGTGGGAATAATCTCCAGTCCTCTGACCCCTAAGTTTGAAGAGTCACCCAAAATAGCATGTCTCATTCCTTCATTCTGCATATGTCCCTGTACTGAGAGACAGGGGGTCAAAGCAGCTGTTTACTTGATTTATACATGTCAGCAAATTTCCAACTCGAGTTATGTTTTGAATGCTGAAGTTGTTGCAAATCGTGGAAGCATCTGAATGTAACTTTATATCATAGGGCCACTGATGTTAAGCTTAGCCCTTACAAAGATTCTGTGTACTGTTTGCAGGCTGAGGAATTCTGAAGGATTCAAGTTCTCGTCATGGTTTGAGAGAGCAATCAGTTTGATGCTTCACTTATGGCTCACAGTCTGTTTTTGTCTTGCTCTATACATTACAGAAACAGATGGCATGCACAAATCTTTATTAAAAGGGATTTTTGTATGTTGCTTTCTTCAACACAAATGGAATTGTCTCCATTGTGTTTTATGAAGGTTGTAAAGGTTCCAGTGGTAAGGAAGAAATGTAGCTAGACTAGATACCTGTCAAAAGCCTTGGACCTTCGTGTCCCATGAGAGCCTGTTCTATACTGTCAGTAGGTTTTGCTGCTTATTCAGCATTAGTTTTTCATTTCCTTATTCATTTCACTATGTCTAGCCTTTGTTCCCCTCCAAGGGCTTCTCATTTCCCTAATGAGTATTGAATCTTCAAAACATTTGCACACACAAATTAATTTGCCTGAAATTTAAAGAAGAAAATAAGCTCTAATAATGCAAAACACTGGTGTCCTAATTGTAACACTGTCATCCTTTTTACTGTGTGTTTTTTCTGAGGGCACATACTTTGAGTTGTTGGTCCCCTACCAAGCTCATGGGGAAAGGAAAATTGTTCCTATATGGAAAGAGGTGTCCCCTACATCTTTGTAAATTTGAGGGTGTGCTAAAAGCTCCTAATTTAATCTGATATTTGTCTATATAGATTGGCACATGAAACAATTCCTCTGGCTCCTAGTTCTCCTTGGCCATCACTAACTTTTTCAGTAACTTGCTCTGAAGGTTTGTTTCTTTTCTAAAGCAAGAGTGTTACATAAGGGACCATCTTCCTGGTCTGTCCTCTGCTTCCTTGCTTTCCATTCACTTTCAGAAAGTCCTCAGTGCCTGTTTAATATTTAAATGTTGCAATTGCCTCCCAAAGCTTTCCTTTCAGAGAGAGTTATTTTTTCTGTTGTTTTAGTAATAAATGACTGCCTCCCAAAGCTTTCCTTTCAGAGAGGGTTATTTTTTCTGTTGTTTTAGTAATGAATGATGAGTTACCAAAAATAATTTTGACTCTCCACTGATGGTGTTCAGGGCAAACCTGCTAAGCTGGGCATCAACAGCTGCTTTGAAAACAATTTATTTTCCTAAGAAACAGCTCTGTATAATACATTGTTCTGGATTTAAGAGGCTTTCCTGGTTTTGTTTCCCTTTTAGCAGTCTCAGTAGGATTATGGAAAACAATTTATTTTCCTAAGAAACAGCTCTGTATAATACATTGTTCTGGAGAGGCTTTCGCTTTCCTGGTTTTGTTTCCCTTTTAGAAATCTCAGTAGGATTATAGGACTGCTTGGGAAAAATTGAGTCACTTCCTGGCTTTCTCCACTGATCAAATATGTCCCAGGGAGTGGCAATAAATAGGTGGAGGGGTGAAGAGGAATATGGCTGAGTTCCAAGTTCTACTAGGCATTAAGACACTTACTTGGAGGCAGTGCTGACTGTGTGGGTGAATTTTTGAGGCAGTTGCCAAACTGCTTTTAATTTAGTTGGGATAAATTTTTCCTAATTGGCTATTTTCTCATTGGTGGAATAGCTGTAATTAGGTGATGCCAAATACAGATTTAAAGAACAGACTCTCAAATATCTTTGCTAGGCTTACGCTTAGCCCCTTTCCTGAAAGTCAGTGTTTGTTTTCCATTAACCTCAAAAGAGAGAGAACCCAGATTGCTTAGAGAGTGTCTGAGTAGCAGGGAAAAAAAGAAGTTTCAGGTGCTTCTCTTGGGAGACAAAAATAAACAGAGGTTGTTAAAGATAGAGGTGCTCAGCTAATATCTCATGGCCTGTACGTGGCCTGCCTGAATGATACTGCCAGCTTAGAGTTCTTGGGAAACACTTTCCCAGGATCTGTTCAGGAGCACCCACTCAGCAGGCTGTAGGATGAATGAACTGTGTCAGTAGCAACCTTCTGGTGGGTGGGTGAGTGTTGCTTCTCCATTATATGACATTACATATGTGTTTGGGATTTAAGGGACTATCCCCAAAATATAATGGGCTGGAGCAGCTGCTGGAGTGGTTTATCTTGCCTGTACTAGCTACTTCTGCTTTCTGTTGCTGGCATAAGAACTGCTGGCAGCAGCCCTTCGTACTGAAGGCCACAGGGAAATGCACAGATAGCAAGATTGGTACTTGAGAGAAGCAAATATCTACCCAAGTGATAGAAAACAGCAGTGGCTGTATTGATCAGAAAGGCTGGGTAGCACTGCTGGAATAAATCAGGCTGTTGTGTGTATGACCCCATTAGGTTGATGCTCCTAAAAGCTGAGAGCATTGCTTACTGAACAGTTCTTCCCAATCAGTGCCTGCTGAAGCAAAAGTACTGGAAACTCCTCACATGATCCAGTGGTCACCCTCTCTCCTGGCTTTTCCTGTAGTGTAAAGAATTGCTGGGCTGTCAATGCAGCTTTAGGCAGGGCCCAAGCTTACAGTTCTGGTGCCAAATTGCAGAAACATGGTCTGGAGGGGAGACTATGTGGGATCAAGACCCCTGATCTTCCTATAATTTGAGCACAGTGTTCTTTCCTTGAAGTGGAGTGTGACTACTCTCTGAAATTGGCTGCTCTGTAAATATACTTAACTGGAGTTTAATTGTATGCATTAAAGTGCAACTAATCATAAAGAGCTGTCTATAATTCTGGAAGATCTCACTCTTTCAGCCTTTTATTATAAAACTTTATAGTAAGAAATAGATGCCTTGTGTATTAATAGAATATAAAAAGTGTTCAAAAATAACACTATGGACTATTGGACTAACCACATGTAGTGATGGAAACTGTTTCATTGTCTTTCAGAAGTTATAAAAATATCTAACTCAGGTTAATGAAAAAATGTTAAAACTTGCATATGTACTGTCAAGACGATGTTGGCAATGCTGATTCCAAAAAAATGCAAATTAAAATTGGTTATTAAGCATTCTTTCTGATTTAAAGAGCAATTTGGATGATCTAGGAACTAGTTAGAATGCAGATAGGCACAAAAACATTCCAGGGAGGAGAATATGTTTAGTAGCAATGCTGTTAGTTACCTGGTAGAAATGACAACTAATTCCACTAATTGAGGTAGCATTAATGGAACTTTTAATATTTACCTGAAAGAGAACCACTTTTAATCTCTGAAGGTTACAGAAATTGCTTTTCTGAGATGGTTTATTTTCCAAATTTTGATATGGTAACTAACGCATTGCAGAAGACACAATAATTCAACAGTACCAAAATGCAGATTGGCATTTGTTAACAAAAGCAAAGCATTGATTATTAATAGCATATTAGTCTGTGAAACAATCCAAACAGTATAGTAAGTGAAACAGTTGCTAGCAGGTAAGAGCAGTGTCAGTTTGCTACATGAGCAAACAGCAGTGACATGATTTTCCTTTTCTGTTACCTGTTAGTGAGGGATCTTCAGTACCGTCTCCAGACACCTGGCTGTGAAGGGGAGCATGGTGTGTTGCTGAGCTTAAGCTCTCCTCTTGTTCTCGCAGGGAGATGGAATTTTTGTGGGGTACCTTGTTCAGGCTGGTGCCCAGACTGCTCACAGGGTTCGTCTGGGGGACTTCTGTGCTTTTCCTGCTCGGTGGCTGATAAACCTGACTATAGTGGCCTATGGGATGATATTCTGGTTTCTCAGATTTGCTGCCATCTTCATCGTCGTCATCAATGATAACTAATTCTGCGCGGATGACTCCATCATATCGTGACAACTTTTGGTCTGCTTCTGCGTCGTCATCATCGATGCGCTGATAACCCATGAACACCATCGTCACTGGTTCAGAATCATCCACGTAACATGGTACAGCTTGGACAATGTTGTATCGAACATCTTCCTCAACTTGAGGTGCAGGGGATGTTTCATTAAGATGGGAGGGACTTAAACCCTTTGTCTCATTATATTTTTCTCTTGTATGCTGGTAAGGTTTTAATTCCTCACGTGCAGTTTTTCTGTCTTCGTTATGAATCATCCTGTTCTCAGGATTAGTGTGCACTGGAGAGGGAGACTTTGGTTGTACTGGAGAGGGAGACTTTGGTTGTACTGGAGAGGTTTGGTTGTACTACTTTTGGAAGATCAAGCCCATTCTCTTTATGTTGCTGCATAAAGGGCTCTGTTTTGGGGAATTCTGTCTGATGGTTGCTAAATCCATTCATCTCTCTTCTGTCAGTGTCTTCCTGTTTTGGTCCAGGGACTAATTTATCTTTCTGAGGAGTAACTGGCCTGCAAAATTTGTTTGCAAACACAGGCTCATGATACTCTGTGGGGGACTGGGAATTTTTTTCCGTTGCCTGCCGTAGCAGGTCCTCCACTTCAACGGGAGCAAGTTCATCCATCCCATTTTGTGTTGTGCTGCCATTTGAGGACACTGCATAGACTGACTTTCTGCCATCGTCATAGACTTTAATTCCAGTCTCTTTAAACTCCTTTGAGGGAACAGGTATTGTTGATAGCACTGTGTTTTCTCCTGTCTTCATGTCTCTTTCAACCTTAATTTCCATGGCAAACAATGCTGTTGAAAGAAGCAAGTGCTTAAACTGATAATGCAATAGCTGCAAAAAGTTTAGGAGTTCTGACAGTGACAGAGAACAACTGCCAGAATGAATTACCAAATATGTGAAATTATCACATACACAACCAATATATTGAAGTCTTATTTTGAATGCCCCCTTCCGTCCTGCAGAAAAAAATAATTCATTTGGATCTAATTCTGTGAGGAAAAAACTGAATGCCCCCTTCCGTCCTGCAGAAAAAAAATTCATTTGAATCTAATTCTGTGAGGAAAAAATAAGTGTTGAGGAGCCAGTTTTCATTACATGATTCACTGAGAAAGCCAGATTTAACCCCTAGCATTGTGCTGGGTAATAGCAACTGAAACAATTCAATAGTGCTGCAATGGTAAAGTCTTGGGCGCTCCAAAGGGTTAGGACACCTTGTAGTAGTTGGGAAATCACCAGACTACTGCTGACTGCTGAATAACTGTAAGTGTGGATAGAAAATGTGAAATGATTTCAAGGGAGGAAGTACTTAAAGTTATGTCAGGCAGAGAAACAAAGTGCTGAAAAGAAGTGTCAATAGTGAAAAAATCTGTTCCTTACTCTCAGTGGCACATACCTTACATCACTGTCCCACCTCTTGGTTTTGATAACCTAACTGATAACACAGCTTGAATGAGAACAACAGTGTCCCATGGTGTGTAATGTTTATTCTTTCCTGAAAGTATGTTACATTCAATTTAGAAACTTTTTGCACATAAGAACACCCTTTGGGGTTCCTAATAAGCAGTACCTTTTCTCTTTTCTTCATCATCAGTGGGAGCAGCATGTGCTGTACTCCTCAGTGCAGAAGGCCTGTAGTGCTTGGGAAGGTCAGGTATGCTGGCATATATGTAGTCTGCAGCCTCTGAGTAAAGATGATCCACAAAGCATTAGTATGTTTTAACTGACTTATACAAGAACATTTTCAAAATTATTATTTTGACTAAACGTACCTTTTTCAAATCCTGTTGTTTCAGTCTTCACAGACTAGGTAGGAAAGAGAAGTATTAACAGTAAATGTGATGAAGTTTTAAGATGTTAACTAGACAGTGGTTTGGTTTCCCTGATAGTTTTAAACATTTGTGTGTACAGCTTCATACAGAGAAGGGGCTAAAAGTGAAATCTGCTAACTTGGAGCATGGCAAGGGAGAAAGTGAAATTTCTGTGGGTTTTTTTTTTTTTTTTTTTTGCCAATATGATTCCAAGTCACACCAGGAAGAACAAGATATTATAGAGTATTAAATGGTGACCTAGCCTCACATTGTGGCCCAACCTGGTTGGCTTCAAAGATTTTTCAAAGGTTTTACTTTGGGTTTTTTTAGTTTTACTTGTCTCCCTGGGTATCTTTAGAGAGTGTGGGGGTGTAAGTAAGGACAACTGGAGAACTGAAGTTTAGTTTCATCACTATATTTTTTGAGATGATTTTAAAATGTTAAAATGACAGGTTGACAAGACTAATGACAGATAACTTTAAGTTGTGTTTCATCGTAACCTCTCTCAGGGACTTGGGGGAGAGCATTGATGCAGTTTATCTGGGCACATCACATAAAGGATCAGCCTCTGTTGCTGTTATGTCTGTCTCTGGCTGAGGTGTGAAGTTGCTGGTTGGTGTCAGTGGCAGTGCTATTTTTTGGAGACATGCTATAGATGAACAATGACAGCAATTGCTCTCTCATGGAGACATTTGGGCACTTGAACAGTATAACATCTTGACCCTTCTTGTGTTTGAACTGCTTTCACTTTAGACAAAAATGTCATGACCAGTCACAGGATCCAGTTAGTTTCCCTGGCAATGATCATGAATGAGTAATGAATTCTACTTCTGGAATAATTTGGCACTAACCTTTATTATGTCCTCTGTTGTTTTCTCAACAGACTTAAGTTTCTTTAAAATTGCTTCTTCCTTAGCTGAGACTTCCATTTCCTGTCTTTCCAGAGCCTCAATTTCCTTCTCCAGTCTGCAATCACAGTTGTATTTGATTTAATACCAGGCAGAGAACAGCATTGTAGAGGTGATACATTGTGAATATGGACATTATTAGTAGGGCTGATTCTACTTACCCTGACAAATTTTGCTCTAATATGAGATCAGCTTGTACTTTCACATGCTTTGGGAAACAACTTGTGAAATAGTATTCTCTTTTAAAAATCAAAATACAAAAATGCCAAGATAGTTTTCCATGGTTCATCATGTGTGAATGTGGGTTCTGGGGTTTCAGAATTCCTTGATAAACAACAGTGCTTGACTGACAGCCTGAAGTTTGATTCTTCAGGGGAAAAATCTTAATTAAAAATGCAAGATATGCTCATGTGGAATGGATATTATTGTAGTGTGCTAGTAGTCTAGTCCAGAGCTTGTGTAGGTACAGACTTAGAAAAACTAGAAAGTTTTAAGGACTCCTCTTTGGCACTGTGTACTAAGACTTTTACAGACATTCATGGACTCCTCTTTGGCACTGTGTACTAAGGCTTTTATAGACATTCACGTGTCCTTAGTCACTCATTGGCATTTTATGTACTTAATTCTCTGGGGCAAGTGCTGGAATCTCATTTCTGTAAAGCATTTCTCCTCAGCAGAACAGCAGTCACATAATACACACTGGTACAATGCACCTAGGACAAGCAGCTGGGAAGGTTAATGTTTATCAGCTGAGAATGTTAATTTTTTTAGGGACCTTTTCATTAGAGGAGGAGCCTTAATTGTGCCCAAGGTCTACTCAGTGAAAACTACAAGCCTCTTATGGATAACAAATTCACAAACTGGATATTCTTTAAGTAGGCTACTTGGCAATTAACTTACTCTGTCAGATTTTAATGGTGTAAAACAGAACTATCCACCAGTTAAACCTTGACTGATGTGCTAAGTATTTTCTTTTAAAACCTTTATTGTTATATAAAAAGAAGATTGAAACTTAGCAGTCAAAATTTTTGGGCTATCTACACTTGCTGTAGGTTTGTATCTTACTTAAAACCAGTCACAGCTCCCTTTCCATCCCTCTTTTTTACATGTTAAGTCTATATATATGGTTTCTTGCATGTTAAAGATGAGTACAATGATTTAGGCATCTTTTTCCTAATTAGAGTTTTTATTTTCTTAGCAGTAAGGTATATGACAAACACTTCTAGACAGAAAGGTCCAGGACAAAATATTGACTCTCTGTGTGAGAGAGGGAGAAAGCTATGCCTGGTTGTCGTGGCCTAAAGCACACCTATAAGGTAAAGTATCTCAATCAAATTCTTTGGTGACTTGAGCAGGTGTCCTGTGTCCTATTTTTGAAAAATTCTTTTTGGACAAGACTGTTCCTTTTTGCATAAGTGCTTATTTGTTGGGGTTTAGATAGCAATATGTCTTATTAGCCTAGTAGTTGGGAAGCCACTTTTCCATGAAGATCTATAATCAACTCCAGATTTAACTCTGAAGTGGGACTTGAACTGAATGTCTCAGTCTTCTGGTTCATCTACCTTTTCATTCCAAAAGAACTTCTTCTAACTTAATTGAAAAAGAAAAAAAGCAAATTTCAAATCCTTCCGTATTTGAGTCAAATATGCCTTCCCTTGGTTTTGAATCTATGTCAGAAACTGATGACTGTAGACTTAAGGCAGCTGCAACTGATATCACTAGTTTCTGAGGTCAGTCAGAATAGTTACAACTAGATGCTCTGGGACCAAGTTACAAATAGGGTAATAGAAATGTTTGCCTATAACCCTAATGGAACAAATTGTGTTATGTTTCGAATTATTCTTTACCAGTTGTGAGGATGCACAATACTACACCAAAGTCAATATTAATAATAAAAGTCTGTCATCCCTTTGAAGTAAGCAGACCAGAGCAGCTGAATGCAGGCCAGCAGATAAGCATTATTTATTTCCTTCTGGGGTGCCTGTTTGAGGAGTCTGAATTAACATGATGGCTCTTGCCCTTTGTAGACTCATACACAGAGCTACACTAACAGGGTACTACATGGAGTTTTATCTGTTAGTGATGTTATCTTCTTTTTTGATATACAAAGTTATCAAAGACCTCAGAATGGAGATGGGAAGAAAAATACATTTAGGATAAAAGTGAAAGCTAAAAAAAAATATATTTAAAAGCAGCTAACACTAGCACAGACCTCAGCTCTGCAAGATTCCCTTAGAACCCTGCTCAAAGGTACCGATTATAGTGCTAAAATTTAAATTTTTTTAATGGAGATGAATGTTCTTGGACAGCTATAAAAGAAAGTAATGTAATGACCATGTGCCATATTTCTGCACTTCTTACAAACAGTCTTTATATATTGAAGTGTTTTTAGATGAGACTTGATTGCAATATTGTCATAATGTGCAAATTAATCATTAAAAACTCACAGAAGCATAATGAAGTGATAAAACATTTACCCAAACTATGGGTTTATTTCAGGTTGACTCTAAACACTCATAGATACACAGTGGAAAGAAGTGGAGAAAACATCCTGAAGGTATTAAAAAAAAAAAGGGAGGAGTGGGAAGAAAGAGAAAACACAACCTCAAATAAATCAAAGATGATAAACTCCATATATTTACCTAGGTAATAAAAAAATTATCGAAGTTTATATATGCTCTCACACCCATAGCAACACCCACTTCATATGGTAATTAAGAGAACTGATTCAGTGCTCAGTGAGGTTACAGAAGAATTCTCATACAATTTAATGGGATTCTAGACCTTAAGTATATCTTTTGCACTCATACTTGTAGATAGACATAGATTTTATGGTTTGTTTTCAGAGGATGTTGTGAGTGGCCTCACTGGAATTTGTTGAATTGTAACTTATAGGAGATGCAACTTGTATAGTTTAAAGAAATTGAAGTCCTTATGGCTTCACACAGTTGAAAAGTTAGGCCAGGATCTTTGTGGTGTGTTTAAATCTTTAGAAACTTCTAACTCAATGACATTTCTATGAGTTATATCACAGTTGGTATTTGCCTTGAAAGAGACTAGCAGCTACACTAGCAGTTATAAGAAACTGTCTTTTGACAGTGCTGCTGGTTTTTGTGGAGAAATGGAAGTATGACATAGCTCCTGTACTAAATCAATCCTTTGAATGTTTGTCCTTCTCCCTTTGGGTAGTGCTTATTATTTGAGAGGGGAAAATAAGTAGTATAGAGGAGTGGATGAAAGAAAAAACCTTAAAAGCCAAGATAGTGAATTGAAGGTTCCTCTGCCAAAGAAGTAGCCAAATTAAGAAAATCTATGGCGTTTACCTGGCTGCTGTTGGCCACCAGCTGATCTGGTGGGGTTGGCACCACTGCTACCCCAGAGAAAATATGTGCAGCTTAAGAATGAAAAGCAGAAAGGAGGATACCACCCTGGAGAATTCCTGACTGAGAGGAGAATGCAGTTTAGCAAGTTCTCACATGTTTTGAGGTGAGTCAAATGCTTTAGCAGCTCTGAAGTAGAGCCTTAGTCTGCCTTCATGTATCACATTACAAACAATGGAATAGACCTTAGTTGTTCTGCATTTTTAAGTATGTTGTTTAGCAACTAATTCCATCAAGAATGAGTGTTATTAGTTGAAGATTGAATGAGAAAACAGGACTCCTAATTCTTCATTCAGCTTGTACCCTGAACAAGGACATGTTCACTTGGCTCACTGAAGCTTCTAACATGTAAAGGGGATAAATAGGACAGATAATGTAAATGTAATTTTTTGTTTGTAACCAAAGCATTCAGTGACTTGTCTGAAAGGTGGTTCAGGCCACTTGCTATTCACTGTTTTGTCGTTGATACAAAGAATGGAACTCTGCTTTTTATTAAAAAATGCTCAAATCTGAACTGATTAGCAGACATAAACTTGCTCTGTTTGACACCCCAGTAAAGAATGTTTCAAAACAGAGGTCCCATTTAGGAGGGTGATGGGAAGGCCCAGGCCACTACTGGAAATAATCTGCTTACAATTGCAATTGTCCTCTCAGCAGAAAGAAACAAAGACTGGTCTAAGGGTATTCAAAAAGACTTTAAAGCGAGTTAGATTTTTTTTTAACTGAAGATAAAACTCAGGCAGAAAAATCATTAGAGTGGACAGAATACACCTGAATCAAGTGAATTTTAAAAGATGCTTAGAAGAAAGAATTCTACTGAGCCTCAATAATTTATCTTACTTCTGCTGTGTGACATGTCTACAGGATCAGTTTAGCAATCTTCGATTTACAGGACAAGTCAAAGGTCAAACAAGCTTTTGTTTGCTTGGGTGATATCTATGGCATAGGAAAAGCACTGTGCAAGTACTGTATGGTGCATATTTTAGGATTTGTAGTGGACATTGTTCATACTGAACTCCCTGTTACTAGGTTTCTGTATCCCTACTGGCTAGTTTGAAAATGGCTGGAGTATGTATAAACAAAATGTAATGCTATTTGGAAGGCAACATGGATGTTTTTTATGGATAATAGCCTTTGGCAGACAGCTGTCAAGGAATGGTAGAAAATGTACTTTACAGCAAAAGGTGCTTGATAAGAATAAACCTGCAAAAAGACTAGTTCAGAGGGCAGTTTCTGCATGACTCCAGGTATGTTGTTCTGCCTCTGTTCTCCATCTGTAAAATCAAACCTCCTTTTCTGAGTCCTCTGCGTATCATGAAGATAAAAGCTGCCAAAGACTCCAACGTGTGTATATTGTTTGCTTAGGAGATTAAATGTATCAGTGATGAAAATATTTCTTTTGATATCAAGGCCTTACAAACCTCCAGACTGTCTTTAGACCTTCAGCAATGGTGAATTAAGCCCTCTTAATTCAGAGTGGCTCAGGAATGTAATGAGCATTTCCGTACTGATTTTAATTTCCAGGATGCATTATACCTGTGAAGTTGTTGTTATAAGAGTGAAATCAGCATGTCATTTTGTGTTACACTTTCTTTGTTAAATAATCATTTCATGCTGATGTAGTCAGTGAAATCATTTCACTACAGGTAATTCTGAAGTATTTCAGATGTATGTCAACAAGTAGGAATAATTTTAAGGAGGAAGCAATTTGTTGGAACTTCCCAGGAGAGGGTCAGAGGCAGGACAAGCTAGTTGGTAACAATGGTGTTAACAACAAATAGCTGTGAAAATGCTTAGTTTGTCATGAAAAAAATCAGTTGCCATGAAAAAGCAGCATATATAAAAAGAAAAGAGTAACCACTCATGGGTTTCATTAAACAGCAAGAATAGTAAAACAAATAGCCATATATTCTTGGAAAAAGAATAATATTTTTGATAAGAGAAGAAATTCCAGCAACTCCCATCAAGCATTTATTGCAGTTTTTTTCCACTGTAGTGCTTACAGTTGCAAGTAAGCTTATGACTTTTCATTAGCATTTAAATTGCTGGTTTATGGTCAGAATATCAGCCATCTAGATATGCAAACATTACTTGTGCTTGTAATTAACTGAATCTGGAACTATGTAGGAAAAGAATTCATGCCTTTCTCCTAAAAGCAGACATAAAAATAGAAAATAAAAAAACCAAAAAATAACCCCAACAATATCAGCAATACTAAAAAACCCCAAACAAATCCACAAGCAAAAACAAAAAACCAGAAAAGCAAATAAAAACCAACACATCAAATCTTTCATCCCTGCATCCCACCTACATGGGAAAGAAATTCTGAAACGGATTTTTTTTTTTTTTTTTTTGTGCATGGTGAGGGTTAATTAAGTCTCTAGCCAAAATTCCAGTGAGAAGGTAATAAGCATATTTCCATAGTTAGGCTGTTACAGGCTCAGGTGTACATTGACTCTGAGCTGAGGAACCTCTGCCTTGAGTGCTATGTGTGTCATCTTGGTCATGCAAATACACAGTTTGCCCATTGGCAGGGTCTCTGCATCTAGTCCTTGTAGGTATCAAAAAATAGAGATGGGCTGAGGTGACCCATGTTGAGATTTAAGAAAATGCAACTGGGACAAATAATGAGTTAGACACTTTAATTTCTCCTTCCTTAAACCACAAATGTATTTAGAAATCTTCCTTTAAATGCCTACAGGCATCTTTTAAAAGATCTGGAAGTTTCTAATTCAGATAAACTAATATTTATAATCTCTTGTCAAGTTTTAGATCTATAGATCTACAGCATCCTTTGTGATGCTAATTTTCGTACATGAGTTAAAGGCATTTTTCATGTATGAAGCTCCAGTTGGTTTACTCTTTCACTGTTTGTAATAACGATAAATTCTAATCATGCTAAAAAAGTTTATATGGCCACATCCAGAAAAGTGAAGCTCACTGTGTGTGTTCAGTTTTGGTCTCTGAGGAAATAAAAGTTGAGCTGATGACAAATTCAGGACAATAGCAAAAACAGTGCCAAAAAACTACAACTGTGGTCATAAACTTAGATTCTGCAAGACATAGGAATGACATTACATATGTGAACAATCTCTGAATTACTAGTATAGGCAGGATTTTGTCCTAATCCTGCATTCCAAGTCTTTCTAGGGATAGGACAGAAGGACCTGCTGCCAGCATCTCTGTGAGATAGCTCAATTCCAGTGACTCAGGTGCAGAGAATCCTAAAGGTATGTTATGAGCTGACAGACTACAGTTAGGTGCTGGAGATACTCTACTTCCTGCTAAAATATTTCACTGTTTTTAAGGCAGTCACTGTGTCAGGAGTTCAGTATCTCTCCTTTTCAGTGGCATAGACATGCTCAGACCTCTACTATAGTAGCTTCACTTGTTCTTTACTTGGGTATCATCAAATGAGCTGGCAGCAGTCTAGATGTAGGCTATATCAGGAGAATAAAAGCATCCTTCCACCAGCACAGCCACATGCCAAATCCAGTTCTTCACTTGGTTCTGAGACTTTTAAAAAAAATATAAAAATTTTATAGATCTCCCATCACCAAATTTCTTAGGGCATAAAGGAGAGATCTGCTAAACCTCCAGGCTTTACTCAAAGTCAACAGAACTTTGAAAATCTAGTCTCTCCTTCCAGTACTTGGAGAAGGGCTGAACTTCCAGTGGTTTGATGGGGAACTACTTGTTCAGTGCAACTTCCTTGTTGCTCCTTAGTCAGTCCTTCCCCATCGTGGTGCTCTTTTCTGGTGATTACTGACAACCTGCTGGGATATTTCAGAGCATGCTGTCTACCTCCTACCATTGCAACACAGAATTGTAGAGAGGTGTGTAAAAAGCTGTTCTGTTGAGAAAAGTGCTTTTGAACAAGAAGTCAGCATAATCATAGGACAGAGTAGCACTGGGCTGCTGCCTGCCAGCCAAGGGGGAGTTATTGTTTGTGTCAGAGAGAGAAAGGAGGGAAGCAGGTGGGAGATAACCAGAGGGGGTAATCTTGGTGACAGATTTGCCAAATGAGTGTGTGTAGGAGGACAGTGGAAGAAGAAAAAAGTATCGAGGAAAATGCTGTTGAACTGAAATAGAGGAAGAAGCCTCAAAAAAGATGATGAAACTTTCCAGAATCTAAAGAAGCAGGAACATTTCTGTGGGTGCATACCAGTCAGTATGCCTGGACCCAGGAAAGGAGCTGATTGTGTACATAGCTCTTTGGTATTTGGGAAGGGCTAACTGAAGCTAATAAGCACCTGGAATAATGTTTGCACTAAATAAAGGAGTCACTGGTGGGACTGTCTATGCAGTTTAATGTTAGGCCTGTGTGGCAGTGAGGCACTAGGAAATGAGATTTGTAGTAACATCTCTAATGAAAGGTAGAAAAATACCTTTGCTGTAACAGGCTTCTGGGAATAAATTGTGTGCAAAACAGCATAAGAAAGTGAAAATGAGCAAGTGATGCTAACAGGGATAGGCAGCATGTTCTGTTCTGAAGTGCCATGTTGTAGTAAAAGTCAGGTATTAAAGGCTGTGCAGGACCTAATGAAACTGAAGAACTTTTAAACCTATTTGCTGTTACTTTGAAGTTCTGATTCAACAATTGCTATCTCAGAGCAAAACCCATATATTGTGCTTAGATCTATTGGATAGAGCATGAAAGAGATATCTGGAATTAGAGAAACAAATACTCTACAATGTAGCATGCAACTTGATAAAGTTCACAGTATGGAAGCTTTCATTGTATACTCCCTAATTCTAGCTGGCTAGAAAACATAACAAAGATTGCTTTATACTGTGTAAGTTGTATATGTTTAGGTCTTACTGACTTTTAAAAAGGGACCATTTTAACCCAGACACAAGGGCAGGGGTACTACCCTACCTGAAAATGTCTTGTTCCAGCTCATGAGTTCGTTGTTGGTCCTCTTGATTCTGCTTTTGCATTTCTTCTTGCTCTTTTGAGGTCATAGAACTAAAACCATCCAAGAGCCATTTTTCTCTCAAGGCCTTTTTCTGATGGGTAAAAATAGAAAAGTAAGTGAACCCTAAAAGTTAGGGTATTCAACCATTTACCATATTTGTTTTGATGCTGTAGATGTCATCTCCATTCCTGTGCTCTATCTAGCTTGAGGCAACCTAACAACAGTGAGTGCCACCAAAAGAGAAATACTAAACATTTGTGCTTTGAGGTTGATGTAAAATCAAACTCATTAAGAGCCACATCCCATTTTATTAATCCCCCCAACAAATACATAGAGGGTGTTGGCTGCTGTCTGTAACAGACTGATATTGATAAGTGGATCCAGTGGTGTGTGTGTCCTCAATAAAGCAAACCAGTTGTATCAAAGCATACATATAACACACTCATGCAAAAGGCTCCAGCCAGAAATACAATAGTTTTATTTCAATAGCCCTGATTTCTGAGTACATGGCACTGCATAAATTCTGGGAGGAGGTATAAAAGGCAAAAGTTTCTGTAAATAAGACTGTATAGGAGGGAGAGATCTCTAGGGAGTTAAGTGATGCAATGCTACCCCTGGAGCTTAAAAGGATCTTGGGTAATTATGGTAGTGAACCCTCCTTTCATCTGCTGAAGATGTGTGGGGTAAAAGTAGGACTGGAAAGGTGGAGTGTAGGTAGCTGATGTCTGGTTAGTGTTTTAACAGACCTGCAATGTATTTAAAACTGCTGTTGTAGGGGCAATCCAGGGCTTATGTATTCAGGTCCTGACCTGTTTAGTGCCCGTGGAGTTCTTTCTGTGCCGTAGTGGCTTATAAATGGGTGTACTGCATGTGCATAGGTAAGTGGCTCTCTCAGCTGTGCTGTCAAATTCTGCAAAATACGTCTGTATGCACTGATTGCTTCCTACAGCTGCTTTACTATATGGCAGTGGCACCTGGAAATCATCAGAGTTCTCTAAAATACTTCTGGTGTAAGAAAAAAAGGTATTCATGGGGATAAGTTAATATTTGCAGCTTGGAAGTTGTAAACCATGCAAACTTTCTTGCACTCCTTGTACTCCTTTCAGTCTAACTCAGGAAGATAAATCCAGTTGCTGCCTGGGGGAAGGATCTGGGACTTCTTAGTAAAACTCTTTCAACAGGGGAAAAAGCATACATATAAAGTTTTTAATTAACCGTGAATGTTTTAACTATAATTTAGATTCCTTGAGCTGTCTGATTTCTATGTTAAGTTTTTTGTTTTTTCCCCTCCTATATAGTTTTGTTAATTGTAGGATGTGGATGCAGATTAAATTGAATTTTGACTACTGCTGCTTTGAGGAAGAGCTGTGCCCAGCACTGGTAAGAAGGCTGCATTAACCTCAGTGCTGCCTGCAGTGGCTGTTGGAATCTTTGTCTGCATTCTCTGTTGAGTCACTTAAACTGTTGCTTCCTGCACTTTTCTGTTTATTGTGTACTTTACGTGAGGTTATTACTGAGGCCCAAAAGGCAGAGAAGGATGTATATAGGACCTGACTGCAATTAAAAGCAATTTTGCACTTGCTTGATGTGTGATATATCTGATGTCATAGTAAGTGGGTCTAAAACAGGCTTGTTGGGAAGTCTGAGGCACTTCATGGTACTAGGAAATCTGTGGGAAATAAGGGCTCCTCAAGACTGATGTCTTGAGCCTTGACTCTGTAGAACCACTTGGCAGCACTTCCTGGCAATTGTGCCTTAGGCTCTAATGAAATAAATGCAGATATTAATAGAATAGTTTTATGTGATCTGCTAGATGCATATAGCCTGGTGTTGGCACAACTCTTATTGACCACAAAATACTGTGTTCTCAAACTGGAGGGAACAGAGTTATTAATTCCCTTTCAATCAAGATGTTTAGATTTTAATCATAAGTAGGGCTCTTAGCAAAGTGAGGCTTTGATCCTGGCTGGAACTGAATTAGTCTAGCATTGATGTCTCCAAAAATAAATCTATAATTCCTTGTGAGGTTTACAGCAGGGCTGCCAATGTAGGTCTCAGAAACTGATAATATCTACGGAAATAAACAAAAGTTTCGTGTATGTATAGGGTTAGGCCCAAGAAAACCAACTCCCTAAATACAATCATAACACAATAGTGTTATTTTTGCATTTTTCTAGAGTAGTTTGCTGCTGCTCCCAAGTAAATGCCATGTAATCTATTTCATTTAATTAGCCATTTGTGAAAGAATGACATATTGTGCAGTTTGGAAACAGCCTTTGAACAAAAGGCAGTTTCAAAGCTGCTCCATCCAGGCAGCAGCACAAACCAGTGCAGGAGCAGCTGCTTTGGGGCTGCCAGGTTCATTTCCTTCCATGTCAAATGTCTCTAGCTCAGCGCTAGGTTGTGCATGTCTTATAGCATTGACGTGAAAGCGCTTTCATTTTGCATGGGGCTAGGTGTGCATTTTGCATGGGGCTAGGTGTGTTAAGGGAAAGGGATGTTTATACACTGTGATGTGATAAGACCATGGGAATGGCCAAAGTCCTGGAAAGGAATGACTTTCTTTTATAGGTCATGGTCACACCAGGAGTACTGTGACAGTATTCTGCAAATTGTGTGAATAATTTCTGATGTGTGTTCCAGGTATATACTCCACTGTAATCCTTAACAAGGCTGGACTAGCACTGAAAGATATATCCTTCTCCAATATAGTTCTACCAGATAACTAAAATCTGTTACGAGCAGGGATTCCTATTTACAAAAAGGAAGTTTAACCTCCCCCAGCCAGCAAACTAAACATACAAGAAAAAACCCCAACCAAAAAAACCCACGAAACAAAAACAACCTTTTAATAAACCTGTTGCTAAGAGTTATAAATAGGAATGAAGGACAAAATGAGGAACAGGATAGTGATATCCAGTTAACAGAACATCTATATGACATTGAGATTTACTGACTTGCAATAGTTTCCTAGGGGACAGGTGTGAGTTATGTTCAATAGGTCACAGAGTTCTACGATTCACCATGCACAACTGATAGGAGTATAAATGAGTGAAATCAACCTGACTTGCTAGGGAAAATGTTCCTTTAATAAAATTTACTGAAGTGTCTAAATGTTTTAGAAGTCTAAATCTGTTTTAAAGCAATTTATGCACTAGATCCTTTTGCTGTATGACTCCATTGAAACACCTGAATTACTCTGAAGCATAAACATTTATCAAAGGACACAGCTTCTAGGGCATCAAGCAGAGGATGCTCTTGTGATAATGTGGCATTTGATATTAGGTGCCTGTCGTATTACTCAGTTGGAAAATGTAGTCAACATTTGCCCCAAATAGATTGTGATATCTTAGTATTTACACACCATACATGTGTGTGTATATATATATATATGTATCTATTTAAATATATGGTTGATCCTTCTTTGCCAAGTGAATCATTTCCACTACAGATCTTTGATTTGTCTCATATATGCAGTATAATTGATTTTAATTGAAAAACTTTTCTGTATGATATCTCTATGATTTTCCTTAGAGCAGCTAGGGAAATCACATCTTCTATTCCCCTGCTAAGGAAAACCCTCTCAGTAGTATTTTTTGAAGGAGTGTTTTAACCTCTATAAAAACTCCATAAAACTTCTTCAGAATAAGTGCAAGGTGGGCTTTTGTTTTCTTAACTTATAAAACTCTATAGTACTGACTAATTTTAGCTATAATCAAGCAATAAATCTGTAAGGAAACTGCCCTAGGGCTCTGTCAGCACACAGCAGTAGTGAGGATTAGCTGGTTGTCTAGAACAGATCAGTTTATCCTTCTATAAAGAAGGGCAAAAGAGTCATTCTGAATTTATGGCCATGGAAACTTGAAGTATACCTTTCAGTACTCCATGTAACCATGTACTAAGATGGGGGAAGACAGTCACATGCCTTGGAAAAGATATTCTCCTCCCTTTTAGACAAGATATTACACAGATGGCCAAGCTTGTCCTTGGAGTAACTACTTTCGAATAAAACTTGGGCTTGAGTGACTTTTGTGTTGGCTCTCCTGGCCTAGTGAACTAGTTTATCATAGCTTCTCATTTTTTTGGCTTGACACAAAAGAGGAGGGTGGATGAAACCCAGGATCTGGAGCTTGTTTTGAAGAGGAGTCTGTTTTAAATATGTTCCTCTCACATTTGCTCAAGGAGACACACCACACTCCTGGTGTTAGATTCAACATATCTTTCTTGAAACTGTTTATCTGCTCACATAATGAAAAGGGTATGTAAAACACCAAGCTTTGCATGTTTCTAAGAAGCACAGATTTTGTCTCATCTCCCTAAATGACATGTGCTGCCAAATTGCAATAGATGTTTAAAGAACAGTGGTGGTGGGTAAAAATCACTGGAATTTCATGTCTTTGCAGAGGTGGATCTTTTAGTTTCTTAGTAATTTAGATTTTGTAATCCTGAGTTTACCAGGCCATATTTAAGGACAGTATTTTCAGGTTTTCAACTTTTATTTTGCATATAAAATATAAATAAACAGCATTATTTTACTAAAGAGTCATTAAACAAGCTGACAAAAGCCTATAGCAAAAAAAAAAAAAAAAGGCTGCTTTTTTCCTAGGAAAAAGGTGCAAGTAGACCTCATGATTGTGCTGCACTCTGTACCAAGTGAGGTTACTGTAGTGGGATTAGGGAGTGAACACACCCAGTCTGAAATGTGAGGCTTAATTTTCATGTGTGAGTTATTCCTGGTTATGATCTCATTTTATGCCATGAAAGTGATCAAATAACATTAGCTTTGGAGTGTAATTTTTTTCAAAGAGTGATGCTTATTAAAGTCAAATGGGGTCCTGGCAAGACTCCAAAAAGCTGTGAAAATTTGACAGTAAAAGCACGACTTAAATGCACGAAGATTTGCATTCCTAAATGCCAAACCTTTATTCATGCTCAATGACTTGAGGCTATCTTTAGTAACATAAATCCAACACTTACCTTTAAATGTTGGTGTTTCATTTTTTCCTCTTCCACTTTTAGTCGTTTCTGTGTAATTTCTTCTTGCAGTTTTCTTTTGTCCTACAAATTAAGAGAACAATAGAACTTTGGTTAGAGAAATTATGAGTTAATAAAAATATTGTGTAAGTGTTGTTCAGTAGGGTGAAATCAATCCATGCAAATAAAGCTTTATTTTAAAGCTTATGTGACACTTAGGCAGTGCATAATTCTTAGCAGCAACATCTCAAGTGTCCTATGCAGGTATGGTTTTCACTGCTCTTTCTCTGAAGTACATTTAAACATGTTAATGGCCACAAAGGAGGGATGGTCAAAATAAAAGTGATTTACTCTTGGAAAGGGTAGGGGAAGAAAATGGAAAGAAATAACATTGGAGCAGAATTATACATGCAAAATGAGACTGAAAATGGGTCCTGACCAAAATTCCTAAGGCAGCCCACACATCTTTTAGGAGTGGAAAGAGTCTGCATGGTCTACACTGTGCAGCTGTGATACATCACTAAATGAAATGGGCTGTCGATGAATCCAGCACTGAGTTTATGTATCCTGTACCTAATAGCTGAAATAAATAGGAATAAACAAAGACTTAGAAATTAATTTCATTAACTGAATAAGTGTAAAGATGAACACAAAGAAATGCAGCGAGCTTCAGATATGTTGTTACATCTCATTTAAAAAAAAAATAATTTTTGCCTGTGCACAGGCTGTTTTCATGGCTGCTGAACTTTAGCAGCCGAAACCTCAAGTAGTGCTGATCTATCATAGTGCTACCTTCATCCTTGTTATTACAGATTATAGATAAAAGGAAATGGGTGAACAGTCCCTGAGCGCTGGCAATGCTTGAGCCTCTTGTGTCTTTGGATAGCACTGTCACGTGGAGTATCCTTGTGGCTCCTCTGTATGAGGCCAAACACTGATTTAGGACTCTGTGTCCTCAGCAGCCAGGGGGAAAGAAATCATGCCAAAAGAAACCAACTTTAACAAGGCATATTAATCAACTATTCTCTTGGTCAGCTTTAGTGCTATAAAATTCTGTTATTTGGCATGGCACCTGCAGCACTTGTTTCTTGGTATGTTCTAGGGAAGTACATTGAATCTTCTGTTGTCCTGTGCAGAAGCATTTGCTGACTGGAGGCTAATGCCTCTTTCCTTTCAATTAGAACAGCTGTGGTTTAGGAAGGAGTTAAGTTCTTCTCAAACATAGGAAGAGTCTTGTCCTTGCAGCCCACCTGAGGAGCCAGCTCTGTGTAAGGAGCATAGAAAGTTTACACAAGGCTGGGAGTTGTTCTCCACCATTTCCCTAGGATGTGCTTTTTGGAAAGAGGAAGGGATGTAGTGTGCTTTGCTAAATCACTGTTACTGGAAATTAGAAATTAGCAGTTGGGCCACAGGCTCTAAAAGACAGTTTGTTGAAGGATAGGAAGTAGAAGAAACCACCTAGCCTTGTCCACATCCAGGGCAGGACTACAGGCTGGACACGTACACTGATAGTGTGCTGGGATTTAGTAGGTGGACAAGTGTGACTGATCTCCTCTCTCTTGTAGTCTGGAAAGTGCAGTAGTTACCTACAATCACTACCTGTACTTTGCAACTTTGCCTTGATGATGTTATTCTGCCTCTTTAAGTTGGGGATTTTGCCTCAAGACACATGTTACCTTCATCTCTGTAGTGATTTTGACTTTTGCCAATGCTCTTTGATGCAGTTAACTAAGTTACTGATCTAGGATCACCACAATGTCCCTCTTTAGAGAGTTTATTTAAGAGCTGCTGTGCAGGATTTTACCTCACTCATTCCTGATTTTGGAGACATAGCATCTTGTCTCTGGCCTTCACACCTTTCCTTAGGAAATATTGCTGATCTCATTGTAAAAATGGCTTTTAAATAACCCATCATTAGATGAGCAAGGCTTGACAAGAGCTTGCGTTTACAGATTGTTACAATTTTAATGAAACCTCCTTTTGTCTTTGCTAAAGTTCTGGATAAGATTCTTAGCCAAAGAATGAACTTTTACTTGGATTATACTATAAAAATATTCTAAGTCAATTTAAATATTCTTTTTGTACCAGATGCTGTAGTAAGAGTTTGGGCATTCTGAAATGAGGAGCTGTACACTAAAGTACTGTGCAGAAAGAAATTGGAGTGTAAAGGCATAAATAACTGTGTTATAAACTAACTGAGTATTAAGGAACCTATTCAATAATGAAACTTTTGCCTGTTTCTTTTGTTAGAGGTCTATGGTTCTTTTGTATCCCTTATTTTTTCTCTTAAAGTTTTCTACTTGTATCCTTTGGTGTTCTGGCATGTTTTAATTTCACTGGTTGCTATTAAACATCCATTATACAATTAACCAGATTACATAGGTTGAAATATCTAGTCTATATATCACATATATAATTTTAGTCTAATGCCAGAAGCTAAGAAGTGTAAGGAATCTTTTTGAACCTTGTGTGCCTTTTAAAACCTGTTAGAACACTTTCTGCAGTGTCTTTTGCTATGCTTTGTCTGCACATCATTTCTTGCTTTATGAAGCTTTGACTATACAGCTAGGGGAATAAATGTTTGTTCCTGGATAGCTAAGGGATCCGTGTTTCTACTAAACTTCATACTCTGTCCCTGTAGATAATCATGTTGCTGGCAGAAGTCCTCAAATACTCTCTTACTATGCTCTTATTAAAGTGAGCAGGAGTTGCTTTTTATGAAAGAACACCTTCAGCCCTTCCTGTTTTGCATCAGTGCAAGGTAAGACTTGAACTTTGGTCCTAATTTTCACTCCTACTGAAACATGTAGGAATCTTTCCTGACTTTTAAGCATAGAAATGAATTGTGTTCTAAACTGGATCTGTCTGAAAAAAAAGGGAAACACATTCACAGAGCAGTGGCTTGTGAAGCATCTTGTGTGCCAAGTCCATTAGCTTGTGTCAGTGTTCTACAGTGGTGCCAATGCTGGTGGCCTTGGTCCCATGGCAAATGCCATGTACTGTCAAAATCAATGGAGCAGCTAATGTTTTAGTGAATCTGTTTTTCTTTTCACATAGTTTCCAGAGGTTAAAAACATTGAAAACATTAAAGCTTTCATATTTCAAGATATGACAGTCTCTCTAACAAAACAGACACATTTGATTTTTTTTAATTTTTGTATTCTATATACATCAGCCGGTGGAAGCTATGTAAAAAAGAAAGGAAGGTTCCTTTTCAAAGCTATGGGAGCATCAAAATATTTAATAGTAGCAACAACAAAATTAATGTTTTCCTTTTTTATTTGCTATATAGAGATGAAAAGCAGTTTGGGAACCCCTACTAGCTCTATGAGAGCCAGATGCTGTCAAGGAGTCATTTAGCACAGAAACCAATCAGGTTTAGTGCAGGTGCAGTTTACTGCTCTGAGTGCCCCTTGCTATCCTCTGTTAGATTCTTTACAGCAAACATCTGGTAGGTAGCCCTTGAAATTCCCAGGTATGTTACTTGAGACAAACCTTCCAAGAGTCACCAAGTAGCTTGTAATTATAAATTTAATGTGTTGTTTTCCTAGTCAGCTTGTACTGCAGATTCTTAAGCCTGATGAAAACTTCACCCTATTTAGGATTCTTCATTTCTGCAGTCTGTTATAACAAGTACACTGAGTGTTTCAATTAAACACTGTCAACTGATGAAAGTAGAGAACGAATAGTTCCTTTACACAGTAAGTGTAATAAGTCATGGCCAGAACTCAAGTATGATTTCCTATTTCTCGTAATGCAAGACACTGGAAGCTGCTCCAGTTTCTTAACAAAGTTCTTCTCCAGTATGCATCTGGAGGCAAAGATTCAGCTGGAAGATGCTAACTCTAGAGTGCTGCCCCATTCCTCCTCCTAGATCCCAGGGAGTATAAAACCTTGCAAGGCCTGGACTTCTCTGGAGAGCTAAAACAATTGTTATCTTTTGAGCCCATACGCTAGAGACAAAGTCCAGGTTGTGACCCTGGTTCAAACATCATGACAATTAAACAAACGAATGTACTCTAAACCCTCTAAAATATTTCAAATTACCGTATTGAAGCTTGTGTCAGGTCTCAAGTAAATATGATAAATGGGCCTGTTGGCTTTTATCAAGTGTCACAGTTAAAACTCAACCGAAATAAAACTCAACCTATTTGAGTCCTCCAGGTTTCCAGTTATGCCTTCTCACATTTATTTTGATTCTAATAAGGCATTTTTTAATTCTGCCCACCAGTTTGTGTCACAACTAATCTATCATGCTAAGAGTGTGAAAAATACCTTTGTTTCCATTATTTGTTTTTAAACAAATGCCTGAGAGAGAGAGAGCAATCCCTCTGGAGGTTTCCTTTCATCTCAAATGGCCAAGTTTACTTCCAGTTTAATTCTTTTGTAACTGAATAAGTTTCAGTGGACATCAGAGGAGAATTTGGATTCAGCCATTTTTTATTACATCAGGTTATATTACTTTAAAAATAACTCAGTGGTTCCGTTTACACACTATAAATCAGTCAGATTTCACTTTAGAAGAGAAACTGAAAATATTTTCTAATCTATTCATCATAACTTCACTGGGTCTTCCCTCTGAAAACTGACAGGTAGGAATTTGCTTAATTCAAGCTTGTCTTTACTTTTCAGACAGAAATACTTATGGTAAATCATCAATAATTCAGAACTTGTATTTAGTTCCACAGTGCAAACCAAAAATCTTTAATCTCTCAGTCTTGTGAAATGGCAAAATTGATTTGTTCTGGAATTCTCTAACTGCCTTTTGACCTTCAGGCAAACACTCATTATGATGACAGTAATGTGTATTTTAGACTGTCCAGTAGTGATTTGCACACATACTTTCACTGCTTTGAATTTAATTTGAAAGTGCAATACAACCCATAATAAAGTCAGTACAGGCAACTTAGCTGTCTTAAAGCAATGGTTTATAAACCAGAATTAAAAACTAACAATTTCAAGCAGACATAAAGTCCTTTCTGTCCTGGAATAAATCATCCTTCAGCAAACACACAGCAGCTCATTAACACAATACTACTTCTAAGCCTTTTTTTTTTTTTAATAGCAAGTTATAACCGTAAGCACTTACTGTTATGGCCTGGAATCTTTCTTTCAGCAATTCGGCTTCCTCCATTCTACAAATCAAAAACAGACAAGTAGTGAAGGAAAATAGAATGAGACCATAAGCAAAAAGCCTCCTGGTGGGGCTACAAAAAAAGCTGAGGTGATTTGATCCAATTCCAGAGCAGAGAGAAAGCAGAATTTTTGACTTGTCAGAAGAGTCCCTGAACAGATGAGCAGATCAGTCCAGACAGACACATGTAATGAGGGTGTGGAGAAGAGGCAGACAGGGAGAGTGCTGGCATGAGTTGACTGACAAGTTGGAACAGTGGAGCACAAGCCCTTTTCCTTCAGAAGCTGCCAACTCTTTGTTTTAATGTGCTCGGCTAGCGTGCCATTACTTCCTTAACTGTTAAATGCCCAAACCAAAATCTCACAGGACTGTGGTAGAAATAAACTTTTATGATGTTCCTATTTCTCTTTCTTCTCTTTCTCTATGCTTCTGGTGATAAAAAGATATTTTAAACTTATTAATTATTCCTATTTGATATTAAACTTATTTCACCTGCATGTTTTAACCTGTTGTACTATTAGCAGTGTTGATGGCATGAGGTTTTTTGAGACTGCAGATTTCATTTAGTTTCCTAGTCAAAATTTTTAGAAAAGCTGTTTCATAGCTGGAAAAATGTTTTAGAACTGCTAACCTAAAGTAAGAAAAACTTTAAGCAGTCAGGTCTGTTATTGAATGCAAGTGTTAATCTGTGCAATTCCTGGTCAGCTATCTGGGACTCAGGGGAAGCTTTGTCTAAGTAAGGATTTCAGGATCATCATTTCAGCGTTACCAAGATGAGTGTAAAATGCTAGTGGCTCTCATGCTGGGTTTCCATTCAGCTGACTTGCTGTGTGCTGCTGCTGAAAACAGCATTATGCTCCGAAGGGATGGCGTACATTCTGACCTTTCCATTTACCTGAGTGACAGTCAGCCATCCAAAATCAATCTAGGAAACTTGCAGAACAAGTGGAACTGCCTCTAGTAAAATCCAGTTGTGGAAAAAATTCTAAGTAAATCAAACAGCATAAAGATGTAATGTGAATCTGGAATCCCTTTGTTACCTGAAGTATCATGTAACTTATTTCTTTGTAAGGACACCAGCAGGAGTGTCAGTCAGCATGTTTGGTTTTTATCCTGCTAATTCATTAAGATGACTAAACTCTGCAGGATTTGGTGAGGGGTTTTATTTCACATGCCAGGACCTGAATCTTGGTGGCAAATCAGGTTCATTACTAGCAAATTCTAACATGTTACAGAATTAAACACTTGATGGTGAAGTTACAGCCTTATAATTCAATAGAAATCAATATTTAATTTCAATTTCCAACTTTCTAGTATGTCATCACTCATCTGTACACACAAGCAGACTGTCCCCCTCTGCACTGGAATTAAGGATGCATTAATGTTTGGTTTGTACTATGATCCACCCTGAGGTTTTGTTCAAACTTGCAGAGACCCCGTGTTTTATTCTCCAGTGAAGATTTTACTTTTATTTTTAACATATTAATGTATGCCTCATTTGGTCAGCACCTGAAATTAAAAAAAATTAACACATAAAAGCAAATGTGAAGTTCAAAGGCAAGTGTGTTGAGGTATATCAAGAGACAGATTACATGGGAATTTAAATTAGGTTGGTTTATGGATCTGAGAATAAATTCAACCCCCCTGTGGAATTGAATATATTCATGCTGCAGAAACCAATAGAGAGACAGTCTTTCTGTTTAAGCTTTCATAAGTTAGTATAACCTGCCTTATTATACTTCAGAAAAAACCAACAAATTTTTGTCTTCTATGAAGTTCGTCTTAAAATTTAAGTGCTTATGTGGACTTCAGAATGTTTAAAAATACTTAAAGCAGCAAATGATTGCATCAGAAATTAGGAAGTCTGTTTTGGGCCAGCATATGTACTCTGATATAAATAAGACTTATTCTCAATGGGTGGAGGAATGAGATCTGTATTTCAAGCTCAACCTAAAATCAACGGGATTGCTTTGCTTGGAATTTTTATGATGTAAAACATTTTCTGAAATGTATGCTTGAAAAATTATTTAAATGCTTTTAAAAACCCTACTTTTGGATATTATATAGGTACAGACCAGAAAAGTATTTAACGTGTGTTTCCCTAACCTAAACCAGTAAGTTGAGGTAACCTGAAGAAGGTTTCTAAAATGGTGCTTCCCTTTTGAAGTGACTACTAGTAAGAAAGTATTTTAAACCCACTTTAAGCATTTAAAATTGTTTAAACATTGTTTATATCCCCTTGCTAGGCAGGATTTGTTGTTCAGTCAATAGGTTGTTTTCCAGTTATCTTAATCCTATTCTGCACAGGATTTATGTGCAGGAGAAGAAATGGACCAGCTGTCATTTTGTCTGCCTCCTGAGCCTGCTGCACCAACAGGAATATGCACAGACTAAAGGTTAGATCAGTGAATTTGAACAGCTGTGTTTTCAGTCCACAGGATTCTTGGAACAAGGGTTTTCAGAACCTGTCTGCCACAAACATATCCAGAGGAAACTATCTTACCTCATCTGCAACTTTAAGGGGAACAAAAACCTGTATTTTTCTTTTGGTAGAACAGATTCTCTGAGTTATGAAGAAAATGTTAGTGTATCATGTGATGAGTCATACAGGTTGGATTTTTTGGCTTCACTTATCCCTTTGTTCATTTCCATTTTGCATACAGTACCTAATGTGAGTAATAATGATAATCTAGAGCACAAGGTGAAAGAGTTGCATGATGAAGTCTTACAGAAAAGCGTGTGGGAATTTAGAATAATGGAGCGTCCTGAACCAAAGCCTAGGAGTAGAACCACAGAAGCACTTTCACAGCTGAAAATGCAAGTTCTGTTGTCCATTTCTGAGCAATGTGTGAGCACTGGAGCAAAGAAATGCTGTCACTCAGAGCTGTAGTGGCTCTCCCTGGCCATACTCTACATGCAAAACCACCCTCAGTTCTACACCTACTCATTGTACTGGGATTTCTTTTGAAACATGACATTAACCTCAGGTAATAAATGTACAATGTAATATAGATTGTTAGTAGCAAGCAATTGCCTCTGAGAAGTAACTTTGCATTATGGTAAGGAGCAAGAAGCTTTCCCTTTTTCAAAAAGTGAGTTTGAAGTGAATGGAGTAGATCAGATTGTTATCAGC